AGAATCTGGCCATTCTATCCCAAACGCAACAACAAATGCAGAAGACGAACAGTGTGGCGACAGCCTCAGCAACAGTAGGTCTCAATATACGCAAAGGGAAAAGCAAGATTCTCAGATACAACACAACATACACCAATCGAATCACACTTCACGGAGAACATTTAAAAGATGTAAAACTTTACATATCTGGACAGCATCATTGAGGAACACGGTGGTGGATCTGATGCATATGTGAAGGTGCGAATCGGAAACGCAAGAGCAGCATATTTACAACTGAAAAACATCCGAAACTCAAAACAACTGTCAAACAACATCAAAGTCAGAAGTTTCAACACAAATGTCAAAACAGTTCTACTGTATGGGGCGGAAAATTGGAGAACTACGAAAGCCATTATCCAGAAGATACAAGTGTTTATTAACAAATGTCTACGCAAAATACTTCAGATCCGTTGGCCGGACACTATCAGCAACAACCTACTGTGGGAGAGAGCAAAGCAGATCCCAGCGCAGGAAGAAACGCTGGAAGTGGATGGGACACACATTGAGGAAAGCACCCAACTGCGTCACAAGACAAGCCCTAACTTGGAATCCTCAAGGCCAAAGGAGGAGAAGAGGAAGACCAAAGAACCCATTACTCCGGGAAATGGAAATAGATTTTAGAAAAATGAATAAGAATTGGATGGAATTAGAAAAGAAGGCGGAGGACAGAGTTGGTTGGAGAATGCTGGTCAGCGGCCTATGCTCTTACTGTAAAGAGACGGTGCATCTAAACATTAAATTTGTCAGCGAATAGACAGCCTATTCGGCTTCATGATTGTTATAATTTAATGACAATCTATCACAAAATTCCGTCAACTCCAACGTATTTTGTTAATAAACACTTGTATCTTCTGGATAATGGCTTTCGTAGTTCTCCAATTTTCCGCCCCATACAGTAGAACTGTTTTGACATTTGTGTTGAAACTTCTGACTTTGATGTTGTTTGACAGTTGTTTTGAGTTTCGGATGTTTTTCAGTTGTAAATATGCTGCTCTTGCGTTTCCGATTCGCACCTTCACATATGCATCAGATCCACCACCGTGTTCCTCAATGATGCTGTCCAGATATGTAAAAGTTTTACATCTTTTAAATGTTCTCCGTGAAGTGTGATTCGATTGGTGTATGTTGTGTTGTATCTGAGAATCTTGCTTTTCCCTTTGTGTATATTGAGACCTACTGTTGCTGAGGCTGTCGCCACACTGTTCGTCTTCTGCATTTGTTGTTGCGTTTGGGATAGAAGGGCCAGATCATCTGCGAAGTCCAGATCGTGCAACTGCATCCTAGATGTCCACTGTATCCCGTGTTTCCCCTCAGCTGTTGACGTCTATATGATCCAGTCGATCACCAGGAGAAAGAGGACGGGTGAGAGTAAGCAACCTTGCCTGACACCGGTCTATCTTCTGAGGCACGCCGTTGTGTCGAAGAAGCTTCCATAGTGTTGACCTGTCCACGCTATCAAATGCTTTTTCGTAGTCAATGAAGTTAATTTAGAGTGATGAATTCCATTCAATTGATTGTTCCACAATGATCCGTAGAGTTGCGATTTGGTCTGTACACGATCTATCCTTACGGAATCCTGCCTGTTGGTCACGAAATTGGGCGTCTACGCAGTCCTTCATCCTGTTTAACAATACCCTGTTGAAGACTTTTCCCGGTATTGAGAGAAGAGTGATGCCCCTGTAGTTATCACACTTGCTGAGATCGCCTTTCTTCGGTATTTTGATCAGGAGTCCTTCTTTCCAGTCTTTTGGTACTTGTTCCTCATCCCAAATCTTGCTGAAGAGAATGTGGAGTATCCTTGCAGTTACCGCTACGTCTGCTTTCAGTGCCTCTGCTATAATGTTGTCTGGTCCTGCTGCTTTGCCACTCTTGATTTGTCTGATGGCCATGCTGATTTCTTCAATTGTTGGTGGGCCAACATTGATTGGGAGGTCCGTGGGTGCTGCTTCGATGTTGGGTGGGTTCAGTGGAGCTGGTCGATTCAAGAGTTCTTTGAAGTGTTCTACCCACCTGTTTTGTTGCTCTTCAATGTTGGTGATTACCTCGCCTTCCTTGCTTTTCACTGGTCGTTCTGGTTTGCGGCGATTTCCAGAGAGTTTCTTTGTCGTGTCATACAATTGTCTCATGTTTCCTTCTCTTGCAGCCTTTTCCGCCGTCGTTGCTAAATCTTCCACATATTTACGTTTGTCGGTTCTGATGCTCCTCTTCACTTGTTTGTTTACTTCCGTGTATTCAGCTTGTGCCTTGGCTTTTTCTGCTCTTGTTCGACTGGTATTGATTGCTGCCTTCTTGTTCCTCCTTTCTTGAATCTTATCCAGTGTATCAACAGTGATCCATTCCTTGTGATGGTGCTTCTTGTGACCCAGGACCTCATGACATGTTGAAGTGATTGCCTCTTTGATCCCCTTCCAGTTGCTCTCCACAGTAGTTCCTTCTCCATTGAGTAGATCATGAAAGGCCTGGAACTTGTTGCTGAGGACTATCTTGAATTTGTTGAGTTTGTTAGTATCCTGGAGAAAGGCCGTATTGAACTTTTGTGATATTGTCCAGTGCTTCTTGAGTTTCAATTTCATCTTGGCGACAAGTAAGTGATGATCTGATGCTATATCAGCTCCTCTCTTGGGTCTTACGTCTTCCATCGTCCTCCTGAACGTTTTGTTGATGCAAATATGGTCGATTTGGTTTTGCGTGGTGTGATCCGGTGAAGTCCATGTGGTTTTGTGTATGCGTTTATGTGGGAATATGGTGCCGCCTATGACCAGTTTATTGAAGGCACATGGGTTTGCAAATCTCTCACCATTTTCGTTCCTTTCTCCCAGTCCGTGTCGTCCCATGATGTCTTCATATCCAGTGTTGTCCGTTCCAACCTTGGCATTGAAATCTCCCATCAGAATGGTCAGGTCCTTTGTTGGGCACTTCTCGATGATTGACTGCAGCCTATTGTAGAATTGATCTTTAGCGTCTTCATTGTAGTCGTTGGTAGGCGCATAGCATTGGATGATGTTCATTGAAATGCCCTCTTTCTTTGTTTTGAAGGAGGCTTTGATGATCCTTGGTCCATGAGATTCCCATCCTATAAGTGCATTTTGTGCTTGTTTGGACAACATCAATAAAACTCCTTGTGTATGTGGGGCATTTTCTTCATTATGACCAGAGTATAACAGAAGCTCTCCCGAAGCTAGTCGTTTTTTTCCAACTTGTATCCAATGTGTTTCACTGATCCTAAGCACCTCTATGTTGTATCTCTTCATTTCTGCGGCAATTTGGAAGACTCTCCCGGTCTCACGCTTTGTACGAACATTCCATATACTTAAATAAATGGTTGCTCTGGTTGTCAGACGGGGCATTGGCCTCGTAACTCCCGAAGGAATTTGGCTTTCATCATGAGGCGTCATAACTCTCCTAACTGAAGACCTGACCCCCGGGGTAGAGTTCAAATGGTTTGAATAATTTTTTGCTGGTTAGCGTTTTTTAGCGAGTTAGTTTTCTACGGGATGGGGTCGCTAACCCCGTGCCCAAACCTCCCCCTTTATCTGTCCTTGTGGCCGGCAGTAGCCCCTGGAGGGACTCCAGGTGGAGTTATGAATAGTTTAGTAACTTAAATATTATACAGTAGATTTATATGCATCGTATTCTTCCAGAAATATATTCCAACAGTTATCATTCATTATTCTCATCGAGATATAACACTTAAAATAGTTTCGGTGGCACATCATGAGGATGCTGAAAAAGAGCGAAAAAGGGTGTGATGTAAGGGAGAGTGGAGTGTTTACGGTCAGTGAAGTTCATTCACATGTCTACGAACATTTATAATGGTTATGATAACATTATAGTGGAATTGGTACTTCACCGCTTTTACGTGAACGACTACCCAGTATCCTTTACCAACAATAAAGATCAGGAAACATTTGTGGTACAATCAAATGAATTGATGGCTCGAGGTGTTTTCAAGCTGAAAAGGTAGGTAATTAACTTGGAGCTGGTAGGGAAAGTTTTCCTGCAATCCGACAATATGGAGATGATAGTTCGTACGCCTTTAAATCAACGGTTCATTCACCAAGCTCTTGAGACTGAATGGGACATCATACATTATGTTTTTAATTTTCGATTTGATCTAGAGGAGTAACCTCTGATCAAAAGAGGAATGCTTTTTGCGTTTTGTTCTCCGTTCCATCCTTTAGCACTAATTGCTCTAACATACCTTCCTGCTAAGCAACACTCGCAGTGCATTTGTAAGTCGCGCGTTGGCTAAGACGAGCACCTGCGTGCTAGTTTTGTGTCCCTGCGGAGCGGTTGAGTTTGTGCGGAAGCTCGGAACAATCAACACTCCTCAAATTATTAGGGATGAGAACAAAGAGAACTTTGGAACAATCGAGTTATATTTGTTATGTGATGACTCCGAAACAAGTTACAATGCAGTGGCCCACTCGTGGAAAGTCGCTAAGCACAAACCTCTGGACAGTGTGTGGTTGGTTTTTCGAAAACAGCCAGCTCTGCTTCGAATGTGTAACGGAAAGAGAACGATGAAAATCTCTCCACTGCCCTTTTGTTGGACAGTACTGCCATTTATTTGTTTCTTCTCCCTGTTGTGTATTTTAACCTTTGCTCAGACCTCGTTTAACCACACCTTTTGTTCTCCAGTCTTCCTCGTCTGAGCTTTTATTACGTGATTTTGATTGAAGACTTATCTTTCGTTACCTAACTTTCTATTGCATGTTGCCGGACTATTGACAGCAAGGTCGTGTTTGACCAAGCTCAAGGTCACGGTGCGATTTAGTGTGTGACTGTTACCCTGTTGGCTGTCTGCCTAGGAGGATTGCTGGAATCCTTGCAGATGGATATTCGATCCCATTTTGTTGGAAATATTTTTATAGATACTCAGGTATTAGACCCTCTGATATTAAATGTTTCTTTTATTGTTTAGCGCGCCACTTTGCGTTAGAGAAACTTCTGACTGTATAGCACAGGCTGTACCTTTGAGGTAATTTGTATTTCTGATATAATTTGTTCTATTTCCTAAATTGGAACCGTTAAAATTGAGCACAGAGTTTGTGTTTTGACATAATTTAATACGAGAACGTAGTCTGACCTATTCGAATACATTTCGGTTCGTCAGTCCTGCGTTCAAACCGAATACTGGCAGTTCGGTCGCTACGAAATGTTTCGGACCATTTTCTTTTTTTTTTCTTTGCTCACATAATGAGTATACAAAATCAACATTTAAAGATGGGTGTCAAGTGGTTTGGTTCAAAAGTCGTGAAGTAAAAATAACCAATCACTAATTACCAGGTTTAATGCTTAGAGCAGATAAAGTGAACATTTTGCAAAATTCTGATACAGAAGGCTTGTTATCTTGCTTTAAGTTATTGCGAACGGTAATGCAGTGAATCAACTTGTCGAGACCAAGGTTAAGATTGTTTATGTACATGCGATGCATTTTTCTGTAGTGTTGTGGCGGTATTGATCCTAACAGCGCAATCCTCAAAGCTGAACATGAGCTAATTGGGGAAGTAGATGTCGAATCAAAAGATCCTAAGGATTTAAGACAGATCATTTTTGATCTGTATATTATGAACTTAGAAGCAAAGATTTCTGAATCGGAACGTAAGTAACGGTTTTTTTTTTAATTTTACAAACTACGTATCATACAAACAAATGTGTTCATATAAAACACGTTCTACCGTACTATTTGAATGAAGTAGAATTTGGTCCACTCGTTTATGTCCGAGAACCTGAATTTGATACATGTATAATAGTGTTCTTGAAATCATATCAGCTCATTAATTATTTGCTGAGATGTGTTTGATGTTCTGTAATGTAATGACCTTATTTTACCCACACAAATAAAATCGTCTTTTGGTATGTTACTGGTAATTGTTTTCATAAGTAAATGATTTGAACATCCAGTAACAAACGTAATAATAAAACTCATTTTCATGTATGTGTGTGTGTTTAATCTCTAGGTACGATGGGAATTGCGTTTCGATCTATCAGAGACTTCGACAGGAGGATAACTACTCTGGAAGGTAATTTGATTATTCAATCTTATATGACATAATCGTTTATACTACTGAATTTTAAAGTCAAAACAAATTGCACACAACGAGTGCATATCCGTGTTCAGTATGTCCAGTTGCTCGACTGATCCAACTATTTTCAAACCTTAAACATTTGTAAATGTGATTCATTGAAAGGTTTAATTAATTCTATCACGTTCAGTTTCTCTGTGAAAATTATTTGCCTCTCTATTTGTACACTCATGAAATTATTAACACCATTCAAACGAAGAAAATATCTAAATCAAAATACGATTTGTTTATTTGAACCTGTTTTATGGTACTTGTCGAGTTTCACAGTAGTCCCATTCATGATAGACTGAAAATATTTGATGGGAGTGTGTAAGTGCATGCGGTTAGCTGATATGATTATTCGATTGATGTACATCTAAGAAACGAAATTAGTTCACGCATTTGAGTGTTTACAAAATCGGTGGTTGAAACATTTGCTCATGCACCCACTCTCTTTGTACCCACCAACAATATGGTAAATTAAAAATATAAAATTCTAGTGTGACAGTAGCTCCATCTGCAAGATCTGAGGTAATTCGAGGTATTGTTGATGTCCCACTTCCCCTCACCTGATGAACAAAAAACTATTGATCCAGCTTGCCAATATTCTCTATTAATACGACTTTTAGAATGTGTGACTGATGTCGTAATATCAAACCTCATTCATCTTACTTCTGTCACATCACATAAATAATTCGAATACAGCACAATACTATTTTTGAAATGTAACTAAATCACCTTGTTATTCAACCGAGTTGCCCAAATTTATTGTGTCTATTTCAGATGAAATCAGAAATTCCAAACTAAATCGAATTGAGAATATTGATCAGTGTATGTCCAAAAATAATCGAGTTCCCTAACTACATGAATGATTCTAGATATCAGCTGTAGAACCAACTATTGGACCGGTGATGCAGCCATGTATGCTTTGTATCGTAAGAGAAATTATTCATCCTTTTACCCTGGCCAACTAGCTAATAATCAATCTTATAACGTGGTGACATAATCTGATTAATGTTCATTTTATGTCCCAAACTTATTATTATTATTATTATTATTATTATTATTATTATTATTATTACTATTATTGTCTTTACACTTGATAAACCCTTTTTGAGGAATTTATTTAATATCCACCCCTGAACCTACTATATTTGACCTGATTATTTTACATATTACGCAATTTCCGATTTGTAATCACAATATTCTCTCGCTCTCTCTCTCTCTTACCCCATGTTGACCATATTTATTCTGATAATTTATCTCACAATTTCATTTCGCTTATAAACCGCTTCAAGTTAACACTTCATATTAGTCAGCCCCAACATTAACGATTTTATTTTTATATAACAAACAATTCCTGATTCACATATTACCATTTCCAAATGATGATGTATTTTGCCTTAAATCTGGCCAATTTTATGGATTATTAATCTGGATTTATAATTGTAGAACCTGATGAGAAATTATTGAAAAGAATATTCTTCGTTCATACAATTGTGTTTTTAATATGATGGGAATTTTTCATCAGTTTTAATTTCTATTCAGTATTTCAGTATTAATGACTTACATGTTGAATTGTTGGGTTCGTTGGCCACAAATCGATCTCACATGTGAAAGTGAACAACTAAAAGGGCTACGGAGGGTGAAAGAAAGAATGTACGAGGAGAAAAACTCTAATGAAGTTCGTAAGCTAAATGGTCTAATAAACCTAGAGATTAGACGTCTCAACTGTATGTTTACTCAAAAACTCTTGTCTTGCAAAAACTCTCCAAGTATTTGGAGACTCTTTAAAGAACTTACAGATGACAGACAGATTAGGAGCGATAACCAACTGAATGTTTGTGACTTAAGTAAGTCTTTAGTACGTCAGTCATCTGTTGTGATGCTCGTTTCATCTACAGGTTTAAAGAATAGCTGTGTTCCTAGATTCACTGAAACTGATGTCCGACGGTGTCTCCAGTCACTTAATTCGTCCAGATGTTTAGGACCTGATGGTGTCCCAAAACTCTCTTTTTAAAAATGTACTGACGTCACATGTTATCCATTTACGACTATCTTTAACAGATCCTTCTCATCTAATCTCATACCGCAAATGTGGAGAAAGCTGAAGATAATCCCTGTACCCAAGAAAGTATCTGATGATAAATATGTGAAATTCGGACATATTGCAATAACGTCACCCTTCCTCAAAACAACGGAAAAATTATTAATAATTTCACTTCAGCCTGCGATAAGAGGTTATATTGATCCGTATCAGCTTGCCTACCGATACAAAAGAAGCACCTTAGATGCTGTTGCTGTTCTATATCACAATACAGTGTTCAACTAAGAAAAGGGTAAGAACTATGTTCGATGTGATGTTCTGGATAATACTTCAGCTTTTGATTCTATACCAAGACGACGTTTAATTAACTAGTTAATCAGCGTCAACACTGACAGCTGGATAACCAACTGGCTATGTTCCTACCTCTCTGGAAGGGAACGGTACACTGTATTTGGAGGAAAGTGTTCAGAGTCTCTACTGTCTCATGAAGGTGTATCACGACGAGCTTTTCTTCCAACTCTTCTCTCCTCCTTTTTTCTGCATGATCTGACATCTTCCACAGAAAACACTTTTGTGAAATATGCGGATGATCTCACTGTATGTATGCCTATCTCTTTCTCTTTACATCCCATAGAAATGAATGAGTTTTCGTCTCGTATTGATTGTTGGACTGTTGGTAATTGTCTTATACTTGATCCATCTAAATGTCAAGCTGTTAACTTAAGCATGAGACATGAACGCCATCCAAACACCATTTTGAGATCCCATATTGCATGTGGCATTGACGACTCTTTATAAACACAGTGTCGAAGGTCAATTATCTTGGTGTTACATTTTCCTGTGATCTCTCTTGGTCTGCCCACGTTTTACTGTTATGGAAGAAGGTTTTTCGTCTGGCTTACCACATTGAGAGATTGCATGCTCTTGGGAGTACTCTTCATTTACTCTTACAAGTTGTCAATTCTTGCATATTATCTATTATTCTTTACTGTTTTCCATTATTCTTTCCCGGGCTTTGGGAAAAGACTTTACTGTATTGTGGAGAGTGCTGAAGGCAGTTAGCAAGAAGTGTGATGAACCCTTCGAAGTCATAATTATTATGGTTTTGGATAGACATATAAAGTCACGCCAACTCCTGGCAGGTGTTATTTTATCAGATACTAACCATCCTCTTCACTCCTATCTTTCTCCTTGTATATCTTCTGGTAGAATGGGACGTAATTACATTCGAATCCATGCACGCAAGCAGAAGTGTAAAAGTTCTATAATACCTTGCCTATCAAATATAATCTGTGACGAACAGGTTATTAGATTTAACCTAGTCAATAACCTGCATTCTTAACATGTCTCTAATTTGAAACTTTGTACAGTTTTTCAGTTGTTTTTAAACATTTTCTTCCCTTTTCTGGCTTTGTTTCTGGTTTCTTTTGTGTAAGAAACTTGTTAAAATACCCTGTGCTGAGAATTATATATTGTACCAAAATGTAATATTAAATAAAGCCATTAATTAATAAAAAAATAATGAATTAAATGCCTATAAATTGATGCTTAAATTTTAACATTATTCGCTGACAATAACGATTGAACTAGTTATTAATGGGAATGAGAATAGTATAGAGAACATGGTGAATAAAACCGATGAATGACAGTCATTTCTGAAAATGACAACTGATTTCTGTAAATCACGATATTGTCCGCAATCTACTCATCTCATTCGACATTCTGAAACTCACTTTTCTAACTGGAGTAAATATATAAATACGAACTAACCCGTATCAATTCATCATGAGTTTCTCAATATAAGTCATTTACTAGAATTCAAACTAACATTTAACCAGTGTTGAACTTAAAATTAGGACTCAAACGTAGTGTTGTTCACGTTGAATGACTAACATCTCATCCACTGCTATGTTCGAGGGATTAGTACCGGCTAATGCAACGAATATCAGCAACGCAACAACGAAACAAGCCAAGATGTTCCACTTTGCCGCAGCCCGACCAACTAGACGGAGAAGACTAGATTTAACATGGACAATATGTCTTCCACAAACAATCCGGAAGAACGAGCGAACAAGCATTCAGCTTATGCGTATACATGGAAAATAATAGTTCTCTTGAAATTCGTCACAACATAGCACACCAGAAGCATAATCTAACCATTGACATTCAAGGTTCTCCCACATTGGGAACGTGAACCGAATGTAAAATGGGCATATTCGGTATGAAAATCGGAAGTGAGAATTTACGCAACTATATTGCAAAAAAATGAGGAGTTCAGGAGCTGTTCTAGTTGTCGCAGCTGTTAGTGATAACCGGTGGGATTGTTCAAATTTGCACGATGATATACATTTTCGAGCTCTGTGACCAAACGATTGATGGTAAAGTCACTTGTAGGAGATAGGCGTATCATAGAACATGTTCGTCTTTTTCTCTTTATCTTCCTCCTGACATTCATATTTGTCTGTCATTATGATCTAGTTTCGTCAATTTGTGGCATACAAGATTAGTTTTTTGTCTGAAACTCACCAATTCTTTCATCTACTGTGGTGATACTCCTGGACATCACGAACCGAATTGGTAAGAGGCCCACCATGTCATTCATTACCCAATAATACGCGAATATAATCTAAGTGTCACAAAGACAAATGGGCCGACAAAATGAGTAATAAAAACAAAGAATACAAATTATAACATAGAACGGACTTACCGAATTGCCACCAGTATAACGATTATTTGTGAAATATCGTTACTTATTATGGGTATTATCGTTACATTCAATAACGTCTGTGAGATAATGTACGTGTAATTAAAATGGTGATATAATAAATCCACATCTATGATTATAATCCAGATGATAATGCGAATTGAGACAGAGCGTGTTGAATTTTCGAAATGAGATTATGTCGTCGAAAATTGCTTCGTGTTCGCACGTTGAGATCACCAATTCCGTAGTGGCCTTGCTTTGTCAATCAATCACCTCGATAACCGTTATAATATAAATCTTAACGGTGTTTAATATCAGAAGGCAATGAGAAGCTGCAACAACAGTTTATTGGTGCGTAGCGCAGATCACAAATCCATACGTACATCAAGCGAATTCCAAGTGGTGAGGTGAATAGGTATATGCGAGCAAATTACTTACTTACTAACGCTTGTTTCTCATAATGGAGCATAGGCCGCCGACCAGCATTCTCCAACCCACTCTGACCTGGACATTCTTTACTAGTTCCATCCAATTCTTGTTCATTTTTTCTCATGTATATCTCCATTTCCCGGCGTAATGTGTTCTTTGGTCTTCCTCTTTTACTTTGGCCTCGAGAATTCCATGCGAGCAAAGATATAGGCAGATTTATCGTCAAATTGCAGCAAAGCAAGCAAGGACTATTATTAGGATTTCAGGACTCATATACATGAATAGGAGGATGAATCATTGCGTGATATTTAGACAATTAACACATGAGCTAGTTTTTTTTGATCTAGTGATCATAACCGTACATAACATTATGCGAATTGTTACTGTCTGAATAACATAGTATGTTAAGTAAGTTATTAAAATGACTAAACCAGAAATAACTATAAACGAAACTGGTTGTATGATAGTTGCCATAACACAAACGTAGTGTAAAAATGGGTGTTTCTGGAACGAAAATAAGAAATGAGAATTTGCGAAACTAAATGAGAATGTCGCCAAGTGATTTCTGGACATTTGGCATCCTCAACATACACTGAGCAACTAGGTTCATCAACCCACCACTCCATCATTCCAGTGTTTATATCACTGTCAGCTATGGTTTCGATTAACCAGTTCTTGATTCTAGAGCCCGAATGTTTATCGGTGTTATTTAATGAATCACTACCTCCATATGACCATCGAGTAATAAGTTAGTTATGAATTATTGGATTGTTCATGCACATCGAAAAAGTTTCTGGTCAACTGAAGTCAATGCTTCAATAGACAACATGTTGTATGGTTGAGGTGAATGATACCAGATTTGAATCTCGGTGTAGAAAT